CCCCCATGGGACATAGTGAATTTGGTATCAAATTAAAGCTTATGACCTATATTTTTAGAATCTACTTGTTTTAAAACCGGTAACGTGTGCTGTAATGAGATATTGGGCTGTTTCCATGGGGGGGTGAGGTGAGGAGAATTTGCTTACTATAGACGTGGTAAGAAGATAAATGGTCACCTCTAACAAACATCAACCAAATTGGTTCAAATTTGCAAGATATAGTTGTTTTATCATAAGTTATCCAAACGTGTTATCGGACTTAAGGTTTTTGGATTCCATGGCAACAGGCACCAGTCAAATACTGCTTGGGTATGAAAATATGTGGTTTTTCGAATAAAAAATGAAACGAGCTCGACTTTTTGTGCCACTGAGAAGAAAGATGTCAGCACTTATGTACTCTCGAAAGTAGCACGCCAATACTTCTACATCAGTGTCCGATGACTTTATTAAGATCTGTTGATAGGCCGCATCAGAGGCATGCAAGGCATGCAGAAACATTCGGGTATCTGCCTCTTCTTGGTTGCTGCAGAGTTCAAGCACAATACTGGAGGAAATGCTACCTTGAGCGTCAACGCTTATCTAGAAGCAACTCTCCCCATGAGTGACAAACAGCATTCTTTCTCCGATCCTCCAGGCAAAGCGCTGGTCGGTCCCCCACACATCTGCAAGGAATTCCATGAGGTTGGTCTTGTTCAAACCATTAGCAAGGAACTTTTTCCACTGTCGCGGACAGAGCTGTTGTTCGCCAGTGAGCCATCGTAGGTTGCCAGAGACCAAGGCACAGGTCCTAGTTCGTGAGTGGGGAGATCTCTCAGGTCGATCTGTAGACTCTGTCCGATGACTAGGAGCCTGGAAAAAGATTTTATCAGCTCGGAGCACAAAACTCTTCCTCCCTTGATTAACCGTCTTCTTAACCTCTCCGAATTTCCCTAACTTCAGCTTTGGTAGTGTCTCAAAGAACCCTACTGCACTGCTGGTCAGCCGGTCTTGTACAAATGACACTAATGCAGACTTTCGTTTCTCTTCTGCTTTTAGCAGGTCTTCCTTCAAAGCGCTGCTTGCGATGGAACCTGAGCTCAGACTCACGAGATCGTCTGCTGTCTCAAATGGATTCCTCCATTGACTGATCACCTCCATGACCTTCTTCACGCCTTCTTCATCCTTTCTCTTGCGAACCGAGCCCGACTCCTTGTGACCCTTTATCTCGTCTTGAGGATGCGAAGAAGCCATCTCTCTGCATCGATTGGCAAAGCTGGCTCTTGCCTGAGCAGTTAACATCCACCACTGCACAGCACCCTTCTTAAGGCTTAACCCTATTATGCCACCCTTAGTTTTCGTGTTATGGTTTAAAGTTTGTTCGATGGTTTGGTCAACTGGAAGCTGCGAGAATCCATGGGAGGTTGTGCGTTGTACACCAAAGTCTCCCTGAGACAGCATGCTGTAAGCCTCGGGGTGCGTATCTGGAGGGTCTAACATGTGAACTAAGCACACTGGTAAATACCGTACGTAATTTGTGTGGTCATATGCAAAAAACCACGGAAGCACAGCTTTAATGCACTCCAGGTGAAGCTCCCAATTCCCCTCTCTCGTGACCCTGATGAGACACAGCAGAGTAGCTACCATCTCCAAGTAGGAGTTCCAGAACATCTCTGCCCGAGTTGATCTGCCATCTGCAGAGACCTCTGTAATAGTGAATAGACCGTCGGCAACTCTGTGGGGCTTGCTTCGATCACTGGACAATACCCAACGCGGCTCTCATGAAGACCCCTCCCTTCTATTATCTTAATATTGAACACTGTCCAAGCTGGTATGACTTGTGGATGCTCTACAGACAGTGCAAACAATGAATCTTCAAGTGGCTGTCGACACAGTATCCATCCAAAGTCGATTAAGGGAGCTCTCTGTGTGGTTTCTGGTATAGAAGAAACTTGGTTGATGTTGATCCGCACAGCAGCAGGTCCCTGTCGGCGACCGGAATGATAAGGAATAACATCGGTGGCAATGTGTGTGACTGTGCGCTTCTCAGGATGCGCTTCCTCAACTTGAATGTCTGGTGGTGGAGCACAGGTAAGCGGTATTCGTTGGACAACAACACCATTAGTGCAGTGTGTCATTCCCTTGCCTGTTAGGAAACGGATACGAAAGTCTTACATTAAGAACAAAATAGTTCCTGTTTTATAAAATATAAATAGACAATTGTACGTGCGCTATAAATCAATCGTTTACTTTGAAGTAAAAACAGAGGAACTGAAAAGATGAAGAGATAAGGTAAAGAGATCAAATTAATGCCGATGCAAAAATGATAATTTGTCCTTCTCTTTAGATACCTGATAAAGTCTCCTCCTGAAGGTCATTGTTATCCCAACAGAAAACGGCAGAAACACTGGGACTGCATGCGGTCGGCAACAATACACCATTGCGGAGATTTGTCATTTGCTGCTCAGCAATTGCTACCTCAAGCTCTTCGATCTGAGAATATGAAAGACCATGACCAAATCTGTTCAAGAGAGTTACCAGTTCGGCACTCCCGGTGAGGCTTTTGACTGTCATGGGTAATGGCACATGCTTGGGAGTCTTGGTGCGACCCCGGGAAACACAATGAATTAGATCCTGTCATAGCGAAAGAATCCAGCGATGAACATGATTGGGTAGACTTGTAACCCATTCAGTACTAAATTCGGTATCTGAGGTAAGAATCCAAGCCAGCATATTGTACAACATATCAGGCACTAAAGTAGCATCAGATTGTAACTCGTCAGCCTTTGGTGGCCATGAAAGAACTGGCTTCACGTCCAGAAGAAGGTTTCGCAGACCTGATTTTCAATGTCCTTCCTGGCTCTTGGGTCTTGCTCATCAATCTCCTCCACTCCAGACTCTAACCCACCATCTGTCATATCTGATTGCGAAACCAAAGACTCAACGATTTCTCCCTTCTCGCCATTGGCGCCATAAACAAGCTCCGGCTGGCTAGGATCAGAAGGCTTGCGAAAGTCTAATTGTTTTCCAAATGCTCCTCTCAGTCGTTGCTTGAGCTTTGATGACCTGTAGTCACTGGTGCTTAAGCCTTCCTCATTTAGGTGTGAAACAAATTTCCCAACAAGTTCTGTCATGTTGAGGATTCTTTTTTTAATAGTGACTTCACTTTGAAGATAATTACACAATTTCTAAAATGCCGTAGCCTCGAGATTCTTTATCTTCAGTGGTACAGTTTTGAGCTTCGAGCTTTGTTAGTGTCTCAAGGCGAACATAATTCTTGTAGCACGATCTGTGGTATTTAATCTCGCGAGCAATACAATCCTGTCCTTTTATCTGCAGTAGCACACGATTGTCGCCTCTTATCTCAGCTGCTCTGAGGAGGGATGCACTGCCATACTCGCTGATATTCTGGGTTAAGGCTTCCCTTGACCTCGCTCCCTTGCCACGTTTACATCTCTCCACTTGGCAAATGATGCATTTATCAATATCAAGTCTCTGAACGTGAGATCTATGGAAGCGTTTTGCTGGTGGCTCTTTACTTGGTTCGTCTGCAGCGATTTCTTGATTAGCAGATGCAGGCGCGGTCTTGTTAGCAGTCCCTTCGATCCTAGATATGATGCCTACATAGTATAACTCTGGTAACATTGCCTGTGGTACCTTCCTTTGGGTCCCCCTCTCCAGTGGTTCATCATTGTTAGCCAGATGTGGTCATTTCGTCTCAGAGCAGTTCTCAAACTTCTCCCAGCTTTTCTCCGTAAACAAGGTTAAGTTCCCGCTACTTTCTGCCACATGACAAAGACACTTTTTCCAGTTGGGCTGCAAGTTCAAAGTGGCTGAACGTTTCCTAGAAGCTGGCTTGATCTCTGTCATCTCTTACTCATTAGGCAGTAAAAATTACCGTCATTATCGGCTCAGTACTTACAGATCTTTTTGAAGCAGCATTCTTATGAAGACAACGTTAACTTCTTGTGTTAGGTTTTGAATAACGAGGAACAGACATTTGGAATGAAAGCAAAACGTTTGACAATCGTAACTTAATTAGTGTCCCACAAAAAATGCAATTAAAGAAGCAAATCCGTTTTAGCTGATTTGATACTAACAGATCGTCAAGTGAAGTAAAGCCTGTGAAACTGCTTCCTCTGAAACGACTTTTGCAATAGAAGACTTTTTTCAACTTAAAGTCATTATTTTACATGGTTTGTGGTAAACATTTGCATTCCAAAAAAGTTAAAAACGTCGTTTTGTTAGCTATATGTTGAGTTTTGTAATCCAAGATGGCCGATTCTTCTAAATGCTAGCATCATGGGATTAGCAATCGTACTATGCATTGTGGGATAAAAGGATCTCAGGAAAAGCACATTTCATTAAAATTATAGGCTGGAGAAGTTCTTTCAAACAGAAAAAAATCTCAATTAAATATTATATAAAAAAGGAAAAATGAAAATAACCTTAATTAAATAAAGATATTAGGATAAATAAGGATATTACAGAGACATTTTATAAGACATTGATGCATCTTCTGGACATCTTCAATAAGTTAAGAATGTTTTTCAAGAAATCGAACTTGGGTTAAATATATAGAATTTCATTTTGTTTTCGAAAAACCACAAATTTCATAACCAAGCAATATTTTACTGGTGCCTGTTGCCATGGAAACCAAAACCACAGGTTCGATAACACATTTGGGTAGCTTGATACAACAACTATATCTTGTAAATTTGAACCAATTTGGTTGATGTTTGTCAGAGGTATGGACCATTTTTCTTCTCACCACGACTATAGTAAGCAAATTCTCCTCACCCCATCCCCTTGGAAACAGCCCAATATCTCATTATAGCACACGTTAATGATTTGAAAACAAGTAGATTTTAAAAATATAGGTCATAAGCTTTAGTTTGATACCAAATACACTATGTGTCCTGAGGGGTGCTACGAAACTCAATTTCTAGGCCTCTTTTGAGATTTGGCTCATGAACTATAGTGGTGGCCCATTGATTGAAACCTGCATAAGTGCCTGCAGCATGTCATTTTTGAAGCCTTGATTGAAGCCTGGTTTTATTGCACTTAAGAGCGCTTGCACCACGTTCTGGCCATGCACTTGAAATGGGAATTGAAAGGCAACACTCATAAAGGTTACTCAATAGAGGATAAAAATGCCTGTAGGATGACTGTTTCAACATATGATGAAGTGTCCATGTTGTGGTAGTCACAGTTGGACATTTACCATCTACAACATCTTTAGGAATGACTTTCTTCCACTCAAGCTTTCCCCATTCTGCCTGAAACTGTTGCTTCTTCACTTCATAATTAAGATTGGACTCATCGTAGAATTGTTTAGCAAGTGTTTCGATGTCTTTGAGCCCATACTTCTTGAAGTTCACACTTTCAGGAGGTGGAACCATCATAACATCAAAAACTGCAAATGCGCTAAGGACTGGCTGGGCACTGCTAAAACGCTGATCAATGTTAGCCCTCAACGGAGAGACGTATCGAAGCAGAAGCTGTTCTTGTTGCTGGAATTGAAATTCTGTGGATGCAAGCTCTAGGGTTGCTAGCCTTCCCTCCGCTTCCAAATCCTACATGAACTGTTTCAGTGGCAACCTTTCATCTACGATGACTTGTAGCTTGTGTCTAGCGTGATTAATTGCAGGGGAAATGTGACTGAAGTTTACACATCCTGATTGGAATGTTTTGCTAAGCTGAGAGAGGAAAGGAAGAATGTGCTTGAGAATATACACACGTCCAACGAATTTATGACGGTGTATTTCCTTCAGTAGCCCGCAAGCTGTTGCATCACTTTCAAGCAGTCATAATGTGCGCATTAATGCTTCTAAGTCGTCAAATATGGCTTCTACTGCATGATCAAGAGACAACCATCTAGTTTGACAGGCTTTCTTCAGCTTCTTGGTTGTAACGTTTCTGCTTTTCTTTGACAAGTCAAAAGATTTACTTCTTCTTGCACTTTCAAGTAAATAGCCATTCTTTTAGGGAAATTTTCCAAATACTTCCACAACTGTCTAAGGAGGTCCTCGACAGTTCCTATGTACTCAACATCGTTTGCAGTATCGACACAAGCCAGCGCTAACTTTTGGCAGATGCAGTGGATTGAAATAATTCCGGAATTGACTTCTTTGAGTCGGGCTGCAAGACCTGTTCTGGAACCTAACATAACACTTGCACCATCACTAACCAGGGAAGAAACTTTGTCGATTTCCATATTCAACTCTGTCATCTTTGGTATTTGGTAACTTTTTTTCCTTGATTTCAACATATTAGAGTCTAGTGAATAATTTCAAGTAAGATAAGAGGATGGAGAAGGGCATAATATAGCAAGCTAATTAGATGCCCTTTACTTTAAATTACATTTTTCCATACAGTAAAAAGCGATACAATGAGATATAAGATATAAGATATAAGATACAAATATAAGAGAGGGAATAGGAATCACGTTTCTTCTGAAGCACTTTAAATCGTTCAGCAGGGTTCTCAATAGATTTTTAAGTAGGAGGTGATCACTGATAAAGTAGGAGGCTCTTCAGCAAAGCCAGAGGTGTCAAAGCAAACCAGCTAAGGTCCCGGAACATGCCTAGAATGCATGCCTATACTGGTACAAAGCGTTTGATGATGTTTGCATGTTCTATTTTGAAATTGAAGTTAGTCAAACTCAGGGTCAGAATAAAAGTCACTGTCAGCACATTCACTATCTTCCTGAGATAGACCCAATGCCAATACAACATGACTTTCATCAGAAATGGATTGTTCCACAGTAACAGTCTCTGTCTCACGAGCTTCCGTCTGACAAGCTGAATCAACTGAATATAGAACTGCCACAAAAGCTGTTGATTCTGTTTCAACAGGAACTTTAGGAGGGAGTTTCCTTCTGTTTTTCTTCTTATTCCACAGAAGAACAGCTGATTCAATCAATTCATTACATTCAGGAGAATAAAGGTCTGGGCCACTGATTAGCATCAAAGTATTAAGCATGTCAACCTTTATTCGACTTCTGAGCCTTGTCTTCAACCTCTTTAGACAGCTCGCCTCTCTCTCTGGCCAGACACTTGACATAGGCAAAGAGCTTGCAATATCTGCTATCTGTGGCAGTAATTCAAACTGAAGTCCTTGTTTCAAGATAATCAGCCTTTGCATACACCACTCTGTTGACGGTATCCGCCGCTTTCGCCCCTATCGAGTTCGCCCCTTCGGGTTCGCCCCTACCTTATACCGTATTCGCCCCCACACTTTTCGAGTTCGACCCCATCAAGTCGAGTTCGCCCCTTGATTGAGTGATATCCAGATGGATTGATTCGTAACTTGATGAGTAAATTCTTCAGTCTTAATTTCATAAATAAAGCTAAACGGGTACAAGTCTAACAACTTAAGCAATGCTGTCGCGATGAAAGCGTGGTTTGCATCTTCTCAAGTCTGGTTGTTACGATCAACACATTTCGTGTTCGTTAGATAAACCGTGTGGTTCTCTTTATCACGAGTTCAGTGTATACAGTTATTTCTGGTAACCCCAGATCCCACGCAGAGTATTTAGTTCCCAAGCAGGTTCCACGCAATTGCCGAAATTCAAAATGATCGTCGCTGACGTGACATTTGGCACATTCCGCTAGTGCCTTCGTCACAAATCAACTCATCTGGATATCACTCAATCAAGGGGCGAACTCGACTTGATGGGGTCGAACTCGAAAAGTGTGGGGGCGAACACGGCATAAGGTAGGGGCGAACTCGAAGGGGCGAACTCGATAGGGGGCGAACGCGGTGCAATTCTTGTTGACGATTGGTGTCTCTTCTTAACTTCTGGCTTTTTCTTAGCCTGCTCTTTCTGCTGCTGCATTCCTGAGGTGGCAGTTGTCCCTTCTGTACAAAATGTTGATTGTCCATGAGCTGTCTTCGTCTTGGTCTTGAGTTCCTCTTTAACTTTCCTCTGCCAGTTTGTAAGATCATATTTGAATTTTCTCCACTCGTCTTTCAACTGGGTAGCCTTCACAGCAGATTCTGAATAAAAGTGGTCTGCCATTGTTTTCACATCAATTTCACCATAGTCAGGAAAACCGACGCCTCCAACATCTGGAACAAGCAATGGATCAAAGACTTGAAATGCACTGACAACAGGCAAGGATTCCTGAAATCTGTCGCTGATGTTAGATGCTAAGTATGTGATGTACTTGGATAACAGGTCAGACAGCTGCTTCTCTGTTCCCTGGTTCATCTCTAGTGGTTAAAGCTCTGACAACTTCTGTATTACTGATGGCTTAATTAGCTGAATCGTCATAGCTTGAAGCATTTGTTTGGTTGCTTGTGTCCTTTTGCTTGGCAGAGATGAGTTGAAGTCTTCCATTAACAGGGTCCAAATCAGCTTTAACTTTCTTGAGTGGAGTCATCTCCTTCTTAATTTTCTTCAACCTGTCAATTGTGAAGTTAACAGATGATTGCACAGTTGAGAAATTGGTCTTGCTGTACTGAAAAGTTTTACTCAATTTTGAGAGCTCTGGGAGAACTTCTTTCAAAATGTAAACTGTCCCCAAGAATTTGGTTGTTCTTATTTCATGAAGACCTTTAGCTGTAGGATCACTTGCTGATAACTCTGAGAGAGTAAGGAGAATAGCTGCATAATCGGCATACACTGCTTGTGTTGCAGCATCAAAGGAAAGCTATCTCGTTGAGCAAGCTTTCTTCAACTTCTCATGAGCTTCCTTGCTAACCTTGTCTGACACACTCAATTTCTTCATTTCAATTTGAATTTTCAGGTAAAGTGCTGTTCTTTTGGGAGAGTTCTCAAAGTATTTCCCCAGTTGCTTCATCCAATTTTGAACTGTGGTGATATACTTTATATCCTTTGCTGTATCTGTACATGAAAGAGCAAGGCGGTGAGCTAAGCAATGAACATTGATGAGGGACTTGTTAACTCTTTCCTTTAAAAGTGCAGCAACACCTGATTTATGGCCCATCCTCACACTTGCTCCATCAATGACCATTGATGCCAGTTTATTCAGCTCAAGTTTGAGAGACAAAAGCTCTGTCGTGGCAGCTGTATAGATAGTGAATGAAAGTGATCCTCGCAGTAACGTGCACTACTTAGGTAGTAGTGAAAATAAGACCTGAAAAAAATTCAGGCCTGTACGGGATTTGAACCCATGACCTCTGCGATACCGGTGCAGCGCTCTACCAACTGAGCTAACAAGCCAACTGGGAGCTGGTCATGATGTTGGTCCTAAATAAACCCGTGAAGTGATGAATAAACGGTTTAGAATATATGAAAGTCATATATTTGAACTGCGGATAAAGACGTGAATGAAAGTGATCCTCGCAGTAATGTGCACTACTTAGGCAGTAGTGAAAATAAGGCCTGAAAAAAATTCAGGCCTGTACGGGATTTGAACCCATGACCAGGCCTTATTTTCACTACTGCCTAAGTAGTGCACATTACTGCGAGGATCACTTTCATTCATGTCTTTATCCGCAGTTCAAATATATGACTTTCACATATTCTTAACCCTGTATAGATAGTGTTTGCATCAGCAGAGCTGGAGGCCTTGAGGAGGTCTTCAGCAAAAAGGAAATTTGTTTTCACTTCCCCATCATGAACATACTGTATGAAAGTTACTAACAATTCCAAAACTGAAATATCAGTTACTTCATCCATTTTCCTGGAATTCTCTGGCCGTAAGAGAAAGTATCCGAGAGAAGTCTCGAGGTGGATTTTATACGTTTGATAAACACAACTGAGATTGGAAGGTCTTCGCAGGTTCGCGAGTGAAGGTTAAGAGAACTGACAACACTTCGGTTTTACGAAATTATTGGGAGTGTATTTCCGGACACGTTTACATACTTCTGTAGTCAAAGCTTAGATTACACGATTGCATAATGTGAGTCCCAGTCCCCGACGCCATTAAAATGCAAGAGCATCCAGCTTGAGTTGCTTGTGTTGTTTGTTTTATGATTGTATCTTGGATTACTTCACCAATTGTTAGAAAAATATCACGAAGTGTTTCCTCACCTTTGTATGAAAAAATATTTCATATGCTCTACTCCAGATGTTTCAAATAGTTTAAGAAGGGACAACAGTTTGGAGTTGGCCACTTCATGTTTTGCCAGCCAGCATGCAGACATAAAAGCAGAGAACATAGTCTTGTCTCCCTTAGCAGCTTTATCTGACAGTTCCCTAACAAACTGAGAATTTTTCTGCAGTAGTTCTGCTTCAATGGCTGCCTTGTGACGATCAGAGTCAGCATGTGATTGTAATGCAGATTTCTTATATCTCGTTCCAGGTTTCCCCGTAAAGATATCAGCCTGGTTTTGTTTATTTCTTGTTTTGTGCATGGAGCGAAGAATGCGGTACATTCCCTTGCCTTCAGCATATAAAAGCCAAAAAAATCCAGTCTTGTAGCAGTATGTGAGCTCCTTATCAGAGAGCCATTTGTACTGGAATTTATCTTTCTTTCCATGCAATAAACTTGCATCTAAATTGCTAACACTTTGACAGTTTTGCTCAAGGCAGTGAAAATATGAATGACGTGCACAAGAAATGTCATCAACAAAGTCAAAAGTATCAGAGACTAACTTTCTCATCTCACATGGTTCTATAACAGGCTTGGATAAAGCTGGGTTTGGTATAGAACAACCACTGCTTAAAAGAGGTCGAGAAATGCTTGAGGAAGAGCTTTCCATGCTTTGGGAAGGCCCAGTGTTTAAAGAAGGATCGTTACCACTTGGCGAGGGCCTGGCAGCACAAGAAGAACTGCAATAATAATAATAATAACTAGTTATAGTTCTCACTAGAGCTGCCCCCGCCCTACAGTACCATTTTCTTTTGTTTTTTTTTTTAGTTGGGCTTGTTGTTTGCAGTTGTGTAATTTTTCTGTTATGTTGTTACGGAATTGTGGCTCAATACTTTGGTTATAGTAATTTTGGATCTCAAAATACTACAAGTGTACAAAATGTAGTTTTGCGAAGTGCTTGGGATGTTTTTTTTTTGCTGTGTGGTTTGACTTAGGATTTGTTTGTTCTTCACGATCAAGAAGAAGCAAAATGTAGGGACTTGGGTGAGTTTTAACATTGGAATGTTATAGGTGGCATTGTAGAACAATTTATAGACAGCATTGAAGAACAATTTATTATTATATTTAAACCTGACATTTTGCACATAATAGACTAGTTATTAGACAAAATTATACCTTAAGAGGGCAAATTTCAATAGAATTTGTTTGAAAGGCATTGAAAAATTGGTCTGTTGAATAGAACGTTCTATTATTATAAACTGTGAAAACGATAAGTGGATGAATTATAACTGGAACCAATAATATATTTTTATAATAATTGATCTTTTTTGATTGATTAGAGCTTTTTGTCAATATAACTATTGTGATGTGGTATCAAAATGGAAAAAATTAATGGAACTACGTGTATGTACAATATATTTGGCTTATAAAAAGTGGAAAAAAGAGAAAAGTATGAAATTTGAACGAAACTATGTATAAAATATATTTTTCAAAATCTATTTTGAGTGACGATTGTGTTTTTAACTCTGATATTGAGTAGAGTTGTATGAATAAAATTTCAAACTGGAACAACATTGATATAAAATTTAGTTAAAAATAAAGTATTTTTGCTTGAACTTTTGGAGTTATCCTTAAATGTCAAGATGGTACAGTGTCCAAATATGATGGTCACTAACGTGAAACAATGTTTGGTTTTATTACTCATTTTTTTGATTTTTCTTGCGTTGGTGGCTGCAGTTGGTGATTTACTATCTCGGTAATAAATTTACCGTTTTTTGACAATGTGAAGTCAACATTTTCCAGCAACAGAAGTTTTTCTGTTAGTTCATCTATGTTGTTTCGGTATTGGAAAACGTCCTCGTTTAGGTAAACGCTGAGTGTGGCTTGGTTTGCCACAACGTTGAATTGCTTCTCTTCCTTTTCCAGTTGAAAGGTTGTGCTCATGTCAACGTAACAGTTTTTAACGAGCATTGCTCTGTTGCAGGCTGTGCAACGAACCATAACTTTAGATTCTGTTTCCTGTGATTTTGCTCTTACATCCTTTGGTGTTGCACATTGCATTAGTGTCAATGATGACATTTTGTATTTTTGGGCAGCAGATTTGAGGCTTGATAGCAGTTGCATCTGTATTTACGTTGGTAATATTTTGCTTCTCGGCTGGCTTTATGATGGTTTCTGTACTGGTACTGATTTTCAACCCATAGTAATACTTTACAGTGCAGTTGGAGATCTCAAAGAAATCCCCTTCCTTGATTAGAGAAATGTGGTCCGACCAAATCGAAATATCTATAGTTCCTGTTGAGTCTACTAATTTACCATCTCTTACTGGTCGTTTAGAGTTTTGTGGTGTTGAAGCTTCACTTCCCATCGAATTAAGACTGAGACTGTGACCATATCCCCTTGCCTCTTAGTTTTTAAAACATCTGCTACAGATGTAATGGGTGGTGCTGCTGGTGGTACATATTTAAATGGAATGGCCATCGTGGAGACATCCTTAACAATGCTGTTCTGGTGCATAAACACCATGCCACTCTGAACAACCCTAAGGTTGGTTATGGTGATGGGCTGTTGTGCTTTTTGTTTGTCTTTGAAAAGCTGGCTTTTCGTGATGTCATCCATAGAACTTATCATTATTCTTATCTTCTCCGTTTGGTCTACTGCCGTCTGCAGAATGATGTCGAAGTAATATGTGAATCCTCGCTGGTTTTTTCGATTTCGGTCTACTCTTTGTACATATCCAGTAAAGCCTGAAAAAAAAATGTTTATTTTATATTTTGTTAACTTATTTATGAAAATGCTAGAAACATTTTCTAGGTAAAATTTGCTTAATATCAGGTATATTATTTGCTCAAAACAATTCTTTGTTTGGATTGATTGAGCCTACATGCATATTTTCACACAAATTTATCAAATCCATAAGTTCCGGAGAGAATTCAATAAAGACAAATTTTGCCTGTGAACTATAGGTTAAAACTGGGCCATCTGTAGGGGTTTCACAATTAGGACAATTCAACTTTCCTGGTTCAGTTTGAATAGCAGAGATAAAATGTGGCCCAGAATTGTGATCCAATTGACATTTTTGTAATACAGATCTTGTAGTTAACCAAATAGAGCTTTTGAGAGCCACATTGTCATGGCAGGTCTTACAAAATGACTCAAAGATTCTCTGAGATGAAAATATATTCATTTCCTCTGAAGAAAGATCACCAAAGGTTCGTTCCTCGAAAATCTGACTGAAGCACGCATTACAATCTCTTGACAAAAACTGGGGGCAATGTTGTTGTAAATATACCCAAAGCGGTTCCCTTAGTTCTCTCAACAATCAGTCATTTCCTTATGACTCAATGTATCTTGCACATGTATTGAAAAGGAGTTCTGTGAATTCATTTCGCGCAGTTAGTGTTGACAAATAGGGTAAAAATAGATGGGATGATATCTCAAGGAAACTATCCAACGCACAAGATTAAGTTCCTGGGGTACTTAAAACTGCATTCATAAAGTGGCTTTTTCGTTTCCACATGACTGAACATTTCTTTGTTTCAACTGAGGAAACATGTGACACTCACCCACGTAATGATCAAACAGCGTTTTCGTACCTCTTGAACACGTCGATTGTAGTAAGTATCACTCTGAAAATAATCAAAAGTCAAATCCCTAGTTACAACCAGTAATTTCCTTTCTTTGACTACTGTTTACTTTCAGTTGTGCTGTGAGTACTTCGCGCCCAATAACAGACTTGCCTCTGACAAATCCAGAAATTGCCGAGTCTTTCGGCCTTGTGCAATAAGCTTGATTTGCGGCTGACAAATCGGAGTTAACCGAGTCTTTCGGTCAAAATTCTAAACTTACACCGTCTTCTGAGAATCGGTGAAATTATTTCTGTATTAACTTCTGTATAACACAAATGAGTCAAGACAGCTTTTAAGCACAAAACAGCACTCTCCGCGCTTTTCACACTTTGATGGTCGCGTGGACTCCGACCGAAGAAACTCTAAAACTCTGAGAATAATCCAACATCAAAGCAAACGAGTTAGAAGCTCAACCTTTTCATGTATTTGATATCTGGTTATACTTTAATTATGCTGCAAGTTCTTTGCTTTAAGTTCTCACGTTAGCTGACTGAGCTGTGGACCCTCCGCCGCCTTCGATCGAGACTTCACACAACCGTTTCTCTTTTGACGGATTCTGATCACCTTTTAAACTCAAAACTACCTTTAATTGTTAGAAAGATGCTATACACACTTACCGTTGGACTTGGAAACGCTTCTCGACGCGGACGCTTAACTCGAAATCTCGACAAGGACAAAGCTCGTGTCAAAGACGCCGATCCCAAAAGTCCTCGCACGCGTGTCTTTTTGCTGGCCGCCCATGACCATTTGCGGGAAAAACGTTGATACCTTGCGGCCGTGCAAGCGATCAAATCGAGATTTTTCTGGTTATGATCTACCGAAAATACCTACATTCTCTCTTCTCAAGTCTTCCCCCTTATTACACGGGGAGTCCTAAGGTGCCTCCTCGGGTTTTTGGCCCTCTGGGGCCAAAAAACCCTGCAGGGGCAATAATAATAATAACTTTATTTATATAGCGTCTATATCACTAAGTGCTCTAGGCGCTTAACAATATCACAAAATGCATTAAAAAAACACTAAAAAATCTAACAACTACATATATAAGCATAGAAATTAAATAGAAATATATTTACAAATCAAAAAAGGCTTGGCGTTAAACTGTAAATACTTGAAGGCTCGCCACATTCTTCAACATTTGTTGAACTTAGCGGGGGCTCAGGTTCTATGCCTGAAAAATAAAATGCTGCAGGGCTTGTTCCAGGAAATGAAAACAACTATTATGACAATGATGAAAAAACTGAAAAACTTTGTTTATAATGCATGACGTTGTAAGGTCTTGACGGCTTATCGTAACATTGAAATATATCAGCTTTCAAAGTGATGAAAAATTTGTCCTGGCACTTAAGGAATTAAAAAAACTATTTCAATATCAAGGCAAAGTCAAATTTAAAACATACCTTTAGCTTTCTTCGATCCGCTTTACGAGAAGCCAAAGATACTAGTAAGTTCTTTCTGCGCCGCGTGGGGACACTTGGCCGCCATTTTGGAACATATGGCCACGTTTCACCGTGAACGCCTGGACTCAAGTAAAATGGCGTTCATCGATCGTGTCCAGAACCGTAAGCAAGTTTCCCGGTTTTGTTTGGATCACAGTCGTGCAAGGAACGGAAGAGAAATTCGGAAACAACTCAAGCAAACTTGCAGAACAAAACAAAGAAAAGAAAAGCGACTTAAACACAAAATAGGCGGCGATAAATCCCAGAGTAAGCGGCGATCAATCGTCGGGTGCCGCCTTCTTTGAGAACCCTGGTTCAGGACGGTAGATAAACTTGCAAATTATTGCCCTCGGCTTGTCGGCGATACTTAGGCTTACGCGATGCGCATTTTCTATCTTCGGCTTCATTTTAAGTTGCTCAGTTAAAACATCTCAGATTTTCTGATGGCAAGCCTCCCCAGGAGACTCCGAGATGTTGTGGAACCTCAGATTGTATTCACGCGAATAGCATTCGATGGACAGGAGTCACTCGTGCATCGCTCCAATTTGTTGGGCTTGATTTGCATGATACTTTCAATTTCTTCAATTTTGCAGTTGGCATCATGGAGTTCGCCATTGACTTCTTCGTAGTTCTGGTTGATTTTTGTGAGTCTTGCTGAGATGTCGTTCAAGGACGACTCGTTAAGTTGGACTTTTAAGGTGGCTACAAACCCCAATAATTTGCATTATGAAGCTTCTGCAAGATGCTGTTCAACATCACTTGCCCAACAACCAAAAACATCTCCCTCACAGCACAAGGTGATCGGTGAGTCAGGTATTTCATCTCTTCGAGTCCCAAGTACACTAGTAGGGACAACAACAAAGTGAACTTTCGGTTCGGAATTTCTTTTTTTCCAAGCCAATACAAAGAATAGAGTGCATTGAATAAAACGTTATGAGCAGTATTTTCCTTCTCAGTGATTTCGCTATGAAACGTTGAAACTCTTTGCAGGTGTTCTGCAGAGATGGCATCACGATGTTGCTGACTGTTACTATGTTCTATAAGTGTCGGTTTCCGGAAACGAACGAATAAAAATGAAAATAAAAAATTAAAAGTATTAAAACTGAATGTAGTCAATAAAAAGTGGAATGTGTACAATAAAAGATATGAATATGTTCAATAAAAGGCGAAATCCCTGTCAATTTGGGGACGGCCCATTTGCGGTTACTCTTCATTAAAGTTCAAGTTTCTGAGGGCGTGAGACTTTTTTGCCCTTTTGGCGTAGTCCCTGGCGCTGACAGCAGGTTGTTCCAAAATATTCCAAATAGTGGATCTTCTGCGAGAAATAGAGTTTTTCATTTAATGTTTCAAAACGTTGTGCGCTAATACGATGTTGATGACGGAGGTCATACTTATGCTCCTTCCTTTGCAGTATATTTTCCAAGCATGATGGAGTTATGCGGTTGTGGATATTATAAGTATAAAGAGTCCCAGTTAGCTGCTTTTCTTACATCCTCAGAGGGCATATCGCGCGGGAGGTTATATTTAACTCTGGCGGCCCTACAATGTATTGATTCCAGAGAATTAAATTCGTTTTTGTTTGTACAACACCCCCAAATTGGTAGTGCATATGTAACTAAGGGTAAAATGACTTTCCTGAGTACCCCAAGTACGGAGCCCTGTGGTATACCGTGAGCAACTTTGGTATTCTCAGAGGGTACGCCATTAATTAAAGTATACTGTTCCCGTTCAGATAGATAATCTCTCAGCCATGTCAGCAAGTTTTCCGTGATTGTGAAGTTGTGCTCCAGGTTGTGAAGAAGGATTGAGTGTGAAACGCAATCAAACGCCTCCTGGAAGTCAATGAATACGGCGCCCATAACTAATTTGTTATCGATTGCTTGTCGCCAAGTTTCAGTCAGGTGGATTAGTAATAGCTCTGTCGATCTTCCTTTTCGGTAGGCCCCATTGGTTGTCAGTGACGAGCGCTTCGTTTTTCGAGAAAACATGTTTAGTAATCATGTCCACTACACATGCTTCTAAAATCTTGCTGGGTACGCTTAGCAAGGAGAGGGGGCAATAATTACTCATTTCCGTAGAATCACCTTTTTTGAATACAGGTGTTTATCTAGCCACTTTCTATTTACTGTAGACTCTACATTCGCGTATGCTTTGCATGAAAAGGCATGTCAGCAGCCCAACAACAGCAGTATTTGCGAGTTTCAATAATTTGGGTGATAAACCATCCGGTCCGGTGGCTTTGTTATTCTTCAATAATGTTATTTTCCTGTAAATATCAAGGCTAGATGGATATACATCGTACAGGTATGGAGCATGGACTAGTCAGGAGTTGTGGTGCTTGGAGTTGTCCAGAATTTAATTTCTCAGCTATTGTAGAGAAGAAACAGTACATAAGGCTCGCCTTCTCCGTGTCTTTTACCGCTAAGCTGTTGTCGTCACGCTTTAATGGACCTATCTTCTCCATTACTTTGTGGTTGTTAGCTTTGGATAATACATTCCAATACGCCGAGGTGGTCTTCGCCCTCTTCAGTTGATCTCTGAAGTATGCAGCCTTCGCTTTCCTAAGGTCAGATATTATTTCGTTTCTCAACCTCTTATAGTTGGCCCATGTATTTGGATCCTTGGTTTCAACAGCTCTCTTTAAAAACTTAAATCAGCGATTCATTTTCAACTTGATAGTGTTATTGATCCTCGGTTACGTTACGCTTTGCACTTTAATTTCTTTCAGTGGAGCGTGTGAATCGCAAACGCCCCTGAACAATTGATTCCACACCCAGAGGATGTCATCCATGTCGTCAAACACTGATGCAATGTAGAAGAGTGTTTTTTCCACGTCTGCTTTAAAATTCTCTGTGTTAAATTGTTTGTAGTTCCTGACTGTAATGACTGGGGGCGGCAGTCTTTTTCGTTTTAACCTGGGGGTTGCATGTACTAGGCTGTGATGCCCAACGGCAATACTCCAGTTCTCCTAACCAATTCCGGCTTATTTGTGGCGATCACGTCAATCAAGGTCTCTGTCGAAGGTGTGATGCGTGTTGCTTCCTTTATCACATTTTGCACATTAAACACATAAAAAATAAGCAGTGAATTTCTTGTTTTGGTTTGTAAGTTAGAGAACGAAGAACATTCAAGTCTCCAAGTAGAACAATATTATCTGTTTTCATCCAAGCTTTTTTCATGATGTTTTCAACCAAGCTTTGTCCATCAGCCATTCATGTTTGAACTTATCTTTTGACATTTTGTGTGCAGTTTGCTCTAGCACAGATAGCTTACAGCATGACTTGCTACTGCATAATGACTGATGATGCACAATGCCTTCTTCTTCTTCTTTGAACAACTAGCTCAAAAGATCAATGCTTTCACCGGCAGAAACCTTTTAGGACTAGTTGATTGGCTTTTCGGGAAGTCTAGCAGGCAAAACTTATACTGTTTCCTCTAAGATACTAGCACCCGCTGCTACAGGCGCTCTGCTCTTATTTTGGATGAAAAAAATAAGTGTATGTCAAATGGAAGTTCGAATTACGGATCAGATTTATCTGCACCGGTAACTTTGCAAGTCTTACAGTTTCAGTTCCTGCGCTTTGCACATGCCGTGTGGGCTATTTTTCGAAAATTGGACGAGCCAGACCTTTAACATTTAACCGCCGATAAACAACACGTACCTCGATTGTGGCCGTATTTGCTGCTGAGATCATTTTGTGTGTATATACTTAAACAATTATCCACCTCAGGCTCAGTTAATTTGACATTATTTTGCCCTTCAATGTTTCGGTCGATTTGCTGGAGAACTAATATCTATTTTCTCAGACATTTTATTAAAGGTGGTTACTACCTTCAGTTGTAGTTGTCTCCTTTTGTTTTCGTTTGTCTTGACCAAAAAAAATTTAAGGTTAATTGCTTTTGTTTCACTTAACCCCGCTGGTCAGACATTTTCATAATTTCGTGCTGCTAGTCATGCACGAAAACTCTCTTCCCAGTTTCCTGCTTGCACAATTATCTATTCTTATCTTGAAATCCAATATGGTGGACAAAACGTCATATCGTTCGTACTTTCCTGCCACCGCAGCAAGATTTGTCAAAAAGACAGTCCCCATCAGAACGTTTTTAAACTAACCTTGAGTCAGAAGTCCTTTTATGTTTACAGAAAAGATAGACAGTGCAAATTTATATTTTTATTGAGCCCAAGTTTAGACCTGATAAACATCATCTCTGTATGGCTCTTGAAGCAATGAAGGTAGCCGGCGAAACCTTGCAGAAATGCCGGCGTACTTCGCCAGCTGCCGGCTCTTATCTACACCCTGGAGATTGGTGCCTTTGTTGGTGACAGATAGTCTAACAGATACTTCTCTCTTGGAATAAATAACGTTTTGGTGGATTAAGCAGTTTTGGCATTTAACTGAAGTACCAGAGACATCAGCCATGTGCTTTTTGCAAACTTGGGAAGACAGAAAGTTAGAAAGTTTAGATGGTATGGGTTGTAGCTATTCTTTCTAATTGAAGGTGATGTCACTGTTTGGGGCAACAGATGCATTTGACTGTTGATTGAAAATCCAATCACTCTCATCTTGTTTGATGGCGAAGTTCTTAAGAAACACTGGGGTCTTTGTGTTTTGAAAATGTTGGATCTGTTGACGTGCTGGAGCATTAAATGCTAGCACTCTATGTACCTTTGTGGGTGATAATTGCAAATGAAAGTCAAACCAGTGAACACCTTTTCCACATGATATTTTTAGAGGACTTAAGTTGTAGATGAAGCCATGTTTGCTGCCCAGGATAGAGTTCAAAGGAAAACATCAGTTGCAGGAAAGTATTGCAATCATCACCTCATAGCCACTTTCGCAAATCTGACAGTGTACGTGTACATGTATCCATAATAGTGGTCATTTACTGGGATTATTGAGTAAAACATAGATGAAAACGACAACAACAAAAAACAATGCTAATAGGCAAGGGGAGATGGAATCAGATTTGAGCATTTGAGTATTTCGCTGTTGACATAATTGAGATATACAAAAATGAAGAAAAAAATTTTCAGTACTTACCTTTAGATTGACCCTGTTGTGACATCACTCCTAAAAGAGGAATGTGAGAAAATGATTACATTGTAAATATAATGCACATTTATGTGTAGGGCTGATTGGTATATGCACTTATCACTCTATTGTATACATGTAGTTTAGTTAGCACCTTAAGGGGAAGACTGCATACAATGTATGCAGAACTGAATAAACTTAGCTATTGCTGGTGGTGGGTAATACTTTCAGTTTCAGGGAAAGTTGTGTTAGATTATGAGAAGTTTGTCTTTTTCGGCGAAGTCCCTTGTGTGAGTGAAAATAAATCAGCAAAGAGAAAACAATTAAGGTGTGTGCCTCAATTGCAGAGTTCGACACGGTGTTTAATAATTTTTCTTTAACTCGTTTATTTTTAGTAGCACTACAGATTTTGCAGAAAAAGAGGGACTGCTCGTAGTCCAAAGTTGTGTTATTATGGTGAACATTTCAAAGGAGTCATCTCCGTATTTTAGGGTTGTTTTGTTTTTGTCGTTGGTTGAGTGGGGTACGCAGTTACTTTACATTTGTGTTTGCAATAGCTGGAATTGACAGTAACTCTTTTCTGTTTGGATAGGTAAGGGATGTAATCCAGTGTTTCTTTCTGGTGTTCTTTCCCTATGTTTACGAGATATAATTCAAAAAGGGTTAATTTAGTAAAGCTATTCTTATGGCATCATGATCTGAATAGCATACACTTGTTACTGAGCTATGGGTATTAGCCTTAATTGCCCGCCTGACATAAACATGGTCTAGTAAACTATCTGAAATGAACGTAGGTTTCTTTAAAATCTGCACATAATTGAAAGATTGCATTAAGTTAGTATGCGGTTGCATATCAATGGCATTAAAGAAGTTTACGTTCAGATCTCCCAGGATTATATCAATTTAACACTTTGTCTATTTGCTCTTTGACTAAAGTACGAATTTTGTTTCTTTTATCTAACATGTTGCATTTCATCTCTTCATCTAATTCTTCCGATAATGGTTCTGCTGCAACTGTTCTTGTGAAAAATTGGCCGAAATGAAATCTGCATGGAATATTATGGTATTTTCTACATGTTTTTGAGTGATTATGCTTTTGATAAGTTGCAACCAAATGGTACAATTCAGGGTCTGCTTCTGTGTGCAACAGATTCGCCAGGACATGACTTTCTATGAAATCTACATAGTCCTGTTTTAATGTGCTAGCTTTGGACAATCACTTGTCCGTATTAATACAGAAGGTCCCCTATACCCCTTTGGAAAATTGAATCCCATTAAAATATTGGGCCTTTTCAGGCGTCACGCATAATTACCAAAACCATTTCATGTTCACGCAAAAATCGTGGCGATCATGTTTCAGGTAAAAATAAGAAAAAGTTTACAGACTGATGTTTTTCTTTTAATTTTTTTTTTTAGTTTTTTTTTATCAAAGCATTTCTTACGTTTACATACAAAATAGAAACTAACAAAGAAAAAAAAAGAGAAAAAGACACACATATAGTACAAACAGTAGAATACTATACACACACACAAAGCTATTACGGTAATACAGTTACCTAGTATGTAAATTACAATGACATCACCTTAAAACTAATGATGGAAATTAATCATGACATCACTTATTCCTAAAACGCTTATTAACTTTTCCCACTTTCTAAAATGATTGTTTTAATTTGTTTCTTTTTCCTGGCAATATGGAGTTCGATATTGTAAATACGCCTTGTCCTGGCTATAAAACCTTGAAGAGAAGGTATAATATTCTGGTATTTCCGAGAGTAAATATAAAACTTACCCAGAAGCAAAATATGATTAAACAGGAGAAAATCTTCTGCAATATCGAACTTACCAAAAATGACATCTTCCTCTTTTTTCACAGAGATTTTATAATCGCGCAACCAGGACAAGACATGTTTCCAAAAACTACATGATACTCTACAGGAAAAGAGTAAATGCTCTATGGATTCAATCTCTGTTTGGCAGAAAGTACAGGACGGCAAATCAGCCATGCCAAAACGAAACAGTTTTTCGTTTGTAAAAACAATACGGTTTAAAATTTTAAACTGAAATTCTCTAAGTTTAGATTCTAATGTTGTGCGAGAAGATTGTTCGAATACTTTTCAGCTAACTTTACTTTAGCAGTAGGCGTTGTTTGTTTTTTCTCCAGGAAAAGCCGGTAGATTTGCTTTGAGGAAGTATCAAGAATTGGAACTAAATTGGTACTTATCAGAATAGCAGGTGAATCCGGGTTCGACACCTGGCTACCTGCATTACTAGTCACTGGGCTTGTGATTTCTAAAATTTACTAGCCTGAAACACAACTTGGCAGCCCGGATCAATTTCCCTCGAGGTCTACCTCAACCCCAAACATGCAAACCTTCCTCTAAACTTATTGGCAAGGTCTTTTAAAATTATGAAGAATGGCGTTTATTCTATCATTGTGATGAGCTGAACAGTGAACAGCCAGAATGTAGGGTCGTGCAATTTGGTCTTTCGTCTTCTTCACTGTTCCGTTGTTACTTCCCATCATAACACTAGCACCGTCCGTTCCAAACTCAACCACTTTCGTCTTCCACACGCTGCCAAAACTCCCTGTCATCATGGTGATCAATGCTTGACTGATGCCATCAGCATTTGCTTTGCCAATGTTCTTCAATCCAACAAACTTGGTAAAGATCGCCCCGTGTACTGCCAATCTAACAACAAATTTTGGCTCCCTGTGAGAACTGTCTGTGGATCCGTCAGATACCATGGACCAAAACTGTGCTTTCTCAATCAGTGAAAGTGTGATATAGCGTTGATTTGTAGCAATTGCCTTCATAAAATCTTGACACCTCTTGTCATTTCGGTACGCAGTTCCTACTTTCAAGCCTTTAGCTTCATCTAAAGAACACAGCCACTGAAAATCACTAAACGGGCGACCGTGTTTTGCAACAGCATGAGCTGATGTAAACAATATTTTCATTTGCTCGATGGTTTTCTGATTTAGCTTCATTAGCATCTTATGTGTTACAGTAGCTTCAGGCTTCTTTGTCGCATCAAATCGCATCTGATTTTGTTTATGACTGTCAAACCTGTTTCAAGTTTAAAGTTCGTGCTTCCAACACAAAAAGAACTTGAGCGATCATACCTTCTGCAGACAAAGCAAAACATTTTGCCCTCTTTGTTTACGACATGGTGTTCAAGCCATGGGAAGCTTTCTTTCCACGATGGATTAAACGTTCTCTTGCTCTGAGTGCTCTCCTAAATGTTATTGCTTTCCTGTTCACTGGTACTTTCAGTTTCGGCCGTTTTCCCTTTTTACATGGTGGCGCCTCGAAATTTGTCAAAAATCGCTCCACCTTTACAATCGCTTCAAGTGCGAGGCGATCGTGCGATCGCTTCAAGTGCGAGGCGATGTGCAAGGCATCGCAACATTGGTAGGGAGAAGACTGGGGAAGACATTGACCATTAAGAGCAGAGTCTGGGATCTTGCGATGTTTACGATCGACACGCAAGACAAAAAAAAAATGACTTCAGAAGATGATAGGTTTATGCCTTCTTTATTGGTATTATCATTACAATTTAAACTTTATTGTTTTTTTTATCAACTGTGAACTCAAGTAAACTAATTATATATAATTTCTTTCAATTTTTCTACTAGCCAGCGGGCTGTTAAACGTGGTTTTTTACTAGCCCGACCCAATTTTTACTAGCTTCGGGCTACCGGGCTAGCGGAGATGTCGAACCCTGTGAATGCGAATGATGCAATCATCGGTGCAGTAGTTGCCCTTTTAATTGGCAAGCACTAATTGGCAGGCGTAGAGTTAATAAGACCCATAATGAAGAAACCTTGCTCAGGATTGAGATTTTCTTCAGTTGAGATGAAATACACAGATTTCTTATTAATGCAGAGAAGCTTGTTATTCCAAATAATTTCATTTGCAATTTTGTGTAGCAAGCTGGGCGTTTTTGCGAGGATATTTAAGCCACCCTTCTCAACTTCCAATATCATCACATTTCATTTTACTTTATCTTTCCCATTCCAGATAAAATAGTAAAAAAGTGAGTCTGCCTCTTTGATAAGGTCTTTAGAAATTGGCAACACCGAAGCTCTATACATAAGCTTGGGGATGGCAAAGGTTTTTATAATTTGTATTCTACCTAAGAGAGGATGACCACGCCATTTCCACAAGTTGATCGTCTTGTTAAGTGATTTCGAAGTTTTCCTAAAATTCAATTTATCTCTTTGTTTAGCGTCGTAGCCAAAGTAAACGCCTAGAATTTTAATAGTGTTACAAAGATTTGGCTAATCAGAATGCGGCCCCTTCCAAAGAGATCTACTTTTGCCTAAAGCTAAGGCTTCGGTTTTTTCATTGTTTATTTTTAAACCAGAACATTCAGTTTAAGTCTTTAGCGTAATGAATGGGTTTGTATATGAACTGCTATCTTTGATAAAGTAGGTCATGTCATCAGCGAAAAGGGAAAGTTTAAAAGGTTCATCTTGTATCATAATGCCCTTAATGCCATCATCATCATCATCTACTGAATAAAAGAAGGGCCCAAGTTAAATGCATGTAGTACTCTTGAAAGAAAATTTAAATTGAGCGGGTCGAAAGCTTTTTCAAAGTCTATAGCGACTAGAATCCCAGGTATATCTTTGTACCTAGCATATTCAATCACGTCATTGATCGTTCTGACGGCATCAAAAATTGTTCTCCCTTTTACAAACGCGTTCTGATTGAAATGAATTACTTCAGGAAGTACCTTTTCCAAACGCTTTGCCAAAGTTTTAGACGCCAATTTGGCATCAAGATTTACAAGAGATATTGGACGCCAATTTGGCATCAAGATTTACAAGAGATATTGGACGCCAATTCATCACCAACCTTTTGTCTTTCCTTTTCAACGAAGGTGATAACAGCCTGTTTCTGTGAGTTCGATAATTCACCGTATTCGAAAGCATAGTTCAAACTATCAACTACCAACTTTCCAAGCAAGGGCCAAAAGGCTAAGTAAAGCTCGGCTGTTAAACCATCATTCCCTGGCGATTTGTTCTTTTGGAAGGTCTACAATACATTATAGCACTAATCATATCTAAGGATGCCCTCACAAACGTTCCTCTTTCCCTCGGCTAAATATGGAACATCGGTGAGATCATTTATAAACGAAGAAATAGTCTGAATGTCAGCGGAATTTCTAGCATCATAGAGATTAGAATAATATAATTCCAATTCATTCAAAATTTTTTTTGGGTCGCTAGTTAATGCTCCATCAGTTGTTAAGATTTTGCGGACACTGCTTTCCGCTCTATTTGAATTTTCTAAGTTCAAAAAACATTTATTGTTTTTCTCACCCATTTCATACCAGGTTGCCTTAGAGCGAATGATTGCCCCAGTTCCTCGAGATTTCCACCATTTGGATCATTATCACATTTTTCTGTACATTCCTTCAGCTTATCTTCCACCTTTTGTAGTTTTGCTCCTCTTTTACGGGCTTGACCTTTACTGAATGTGATTGTTCGCTGTCTTATTTTGTATTTTATTAAATCCCATAAAACACGCTTATCTAACCAATTCACATATTCAGTGGTTAACAGTTCACAGTAGTCTGAGTCATTTACTAAGTTCGAATTGAATTCCCAGAAAGTCGGTCCTCTCTCAGTTTCATCTAAGCCGCTAATTGAAAGGGTTATTGCCGAATGGTCTTTTTATTGATGTTTTAATCTCGGCTGAAATTTTCTCATCTTGCAAACTGTCGCTTACAAGCCAATAATCTAGACGCCTCTGTACAAGCGGAGTTTTTTGATGCCAAGTAAATCGTGATGCAGTGGGGTTCCTAATTCGCCAGATATTAACCAGATCGAAATCAGGGAGCATATCTTGAACTAATTTTGCGGAGTCTTCCTTTCTGTTGTTTCCACCCCGTCCATCTAAGTCAGGGTCAAGAATGACGTTAAAATCACCTCCGACGATAATTGGGTAATCCTGTTCTGTTCTAGCGGCTTTCAAAATTTCTGATATTACTTTGAAAAAGATGCATTGTTCACTACATTTGTTTGGAGTGTAAATATTCAAAAGAAAGTATGGTGATTCCTGAATGGAAAACTCTAGGAAAACATGGCGACCTTGAGAATCAACCTTAATAGATCGCAGTTGAAAGTCTAAGCTATACCAGTACAAGTACACCTCGACTGTGGCTTCTACCGTGCAAAAAGAACATCTTTTCCTCTCCAATGTTCTCTCTTGATATTTTCGACTTCTTGAGTACTGTAGGTTCTTGCAGAAAACAAATATTGGCTCCAGAATTTAAAAGCCAGCTAAAAATTGCTTTCCGCTTTTCAAAAGCACGAATCCCTCGAGCATTTAATGACAAAAGACTAAAATCGATGTCTGTACGCCCTACTTCCCCAAAAGGGAAAACAACTTCATTAGGTGGGAAAAGTTAAGCATCAGTTTGGCACCTTCAAACTTTAAAGAATATATCTTCATTAACGCGCCAGAATAGCTTTGAAAACCTTGGTAAACACAAAGCAGAACATCTACAAAAGCAAAAACAAATACTCAGTGTCTTTCAATTCAAACTCAACACGAAGCACCGTCTCGCGATCTTGATAGTGTAAAAAACGGGCCAATATCAGCCTGGGCTTTCCAGGTACGGATTTAGCGATCCGATGCACTTGTTGAAACTCCATATTCCTCTTTGGATCCCCAAAACCAAGGACATCATGAAGACAATCACACAAAACATCAAGTGTGCCAACCGCATCTTTCCCCTCTAAAGCGCTGGCTTCGCTTTCCGGTATGCCAAAAAATTTTAGATTTTCTCTCCTGCTGTACAATTCGAGATAAAGGTGTTGCGTTTGTAAATATTCAATTTGCTTATCCTTGTCTTCTACCGTTCCACGAAGCTCTTCAACTTCTTTGTTGAGATGTGTAAGACTCTTATCCATACCTTAGATCGAACTATCCACAGCACGTGCATCTTCTTTCATCTTGTCGATAGCTGATTCGACGTTCCCCAGTCTGGTTGTTAAATCCTTCAACGTTGCCTCAACTCTATCGAGTTTCTCCAATTTCTTAAGTTCTCCAAGAATTTTATGGAGCTTTTCACAAATGTCACCGGTCATGTTAAAGGCTTGGAGAACCTCATCTTCCTCGGCTAGACTCTTTGGATTCTTTTCCCAAAGAGAACTTGACCCAGACGAATCTGAATTGCTTCTCTTTGATATTGTACACTTCAAAGAAGAAAGAATGGTTTCCATATACAAGAAATGCAAGCTGCCAGAAGAACTACTAATAACCAGAGCGGAGCACTCGAAAACACGTCTACTCGCAATGCATGCCAGCCCCAGTCTCCATGGACAAATGTTTTTACATATTTACATTAGTCCGTAAAAATGGACTAATGTTTTTAGATTCTCTTACTTATCTTGGCCTGATCGGCCGTGTCTTTTGGTCGCACCAAGTCGTTTCATTAGAATATGCTTCTATTAATGGTAATTCTGCGTCCAGAACGAGTAGTTCTCAAGAAGGTCAAGACGTTCTCACTTTCGTTATCAATGTCAATCTCCGAATCACTTGAATCGCTTCCGTCACTGTACTCGTCAACCTGGTTTTCATCGTGGTCTGATGCTGAACACACTGAGTCAAAAGTGATGACTTCATTTAATTGAACAACATCCATTTGATTCTGCTCAGTGGAATATTTTTTTTTAGTTTTTCAACTTCTGCCTTCAACTTTCCCCTCAGATGGTCGACATTTCCAGTGGCTTGGATCCCCTCTTTGTAAGCTCGATAATAAGCTCTGCTTTTCTGAGAGACTGAACTTGAATAGCTGCCTTGTTAGAGTGTCCAATCACGATGATGCCTTCTATAGTGCAAATAAACACAAATCCGTTTGAGGTACACAACGACTTAGTGTTTAATCGCTTCACCATCACAACTGTTAGAATCAAACCAACAACCAAGATTTCTTGCAAGTGGCACGGGTTGAATATCTGAGTCACCCACACGTATACTGATGTTATCTAGCTTTCCCAGCTGTTGTGATGAACCAATGATGAGGAATTCAGTCTTGTCGTCATTAAACTTAAGATCGTCATTCGACATCCAAGAGCGAATGTCTCTGATGCAGTCTTCCATATTCCTCACCACAGCAAGTTGTTCAGCTTTGTTGTTGGGACTAAATGAGATGTAAACTTGTGAATCATCAGCACAACAGTGAATCATGGGCAGATGATGTTTAATTATCTCAAAAAGCTCACCCATGTACAACGTGAACAATAGCGGACCAAGGCAGGAACCTTGAGGCACGCCGAATTCTAATTTAAAGGGTTTAGATAGTGACTCATTAATCATAATCTGCTGAGTTCTTCCAGACAAATAGGATGCAAACCAGGAGAGGGCTTTTCCCTGTATGCAAAATGAGTATTCAAGTCGACGTGGCATGGTGTTGTGATTAACTGCATCAAAGGCAGCACTCAAGTCGAGCACAATTAGCAAAGTAACACACTGATTGTTCATGTTCAAGAGAATGTCATTCATAATCTTAAGCAGTGCAGTTTCTGTGCTGTGGTTTTGTCGATAAGCTGATTGAAACAACGGGAACAGATTGTTACAATTTAAATAATGTAGTTGCTTGGCAACCACAGTCTCAACTAGCTTTGGGATAAATGCCAAATTACTCACTGGTCTGAAGTTCCTAAAGACGGGAGTAATAATCCATGCTTTTTCAGCAGCAGCCGCACTAGAGCACACTTCCAGGTGCGCGGAAAATAACCAGAATCAAGCGAAAGGTTAATTATTTTGGTGATCGGAGTCAGTAGCACATCGACACACTCATTAAGTAGCTTAGTTGGATTGGAATCAAGAGGACAGGACTTCTTAGACGAAGCTGTGATTAGATCAAACACCTCTGATTCAGGCAAAAGATTAAATTCTGAAAACAGGAAGCAGTCACAGTACTAGTTGCGTTGACAGGAAGGCAGATCTAAAATATAGTTATGCCAAGGCCTGCAAAGTTTCATTAGACGCACCAGCTTTTAAGTTTTCCAGATCCTTTGATTGAAGTTTGTTTCGTTTGACCACCTTGCCACCCTCAAGTGCCACAACAAGGAGACTGCTTTCCTCTGTTGAAGATTTTCGAGGTCTTCCCCTTCCTTTTTGGCCTTTTGGGGTAGTCGGATTGCTAGCGGAAGACGTAGGTTCACCACAGGAATATCCACACAATATCCTTTTGAAGAAGTGTCACTAAAGAAAGGATAACAAATTTATAAATATTCAAAGGAATACTGCGTGGGCGGTCAGTGTCCATGATTAAAACTTTAAAATGTTTCCGGGATCTGACCCAAAAAAATATAGATAAAGAGCTAAATTTTCGGCAATGTGCTGTTTGCCTTCATCAGAATAAATTCGAAGTGATCTTGGAAAGCAGATGAACACTCTGGTCTTTAAACATACAGTACTCTATAAGTTGCAGTAAGAATCGCTACTATATCCTGATACATTTCTAGAGTGTAAAAGCTTCTAATCAGAAAACGTATTTCTTTTGCCTAAAACTGGCATCTACAACAGGTAACCATGGTCGCTTATACACAACATGTCCCATGCCCAGATGTCCCATTGCTTTTGAATATGCACGGCGAAGACTTCGGCTTTTTGTGCGTGCTTATCCAAAACGCTCATCAACAGCTCATACGAACCCAGGCCTTTTGATCGAGCAAAGTTGTTTAAGTTCATTGATTTCGTTAAATATCGAGGTAGCTTGAAAAGAAAAGTAAAAGAAACCATTTCAATTGAAGTAACATTTTGGTTTATACACTTGAATGCCATAAAAAGGAAAAGTAAACTCACCTGTTGATGTACCGTATATGTACTAAAAAAGTACAAAGAAGATTGAAGAAAGGGATTGAGGGTCATCAAAGAGCACGTCTGCTGTGACCTTCGTGATGCAATTCAGTCAATCCAGCGACAGGCAGACAACATTTTCACCGTCATATACCGACAAAAGGTGACGTAATGTCTTATTTATTCAAAGACCTTGAAATCCCACGTACAGCGCTGAAATTTACTGGAACACTTCAACAACCAGAAATTGTTTCACACAAAACAAGTTTATTCACGAATCACGTTTAATTCAACTCTTTGTTCACAGGTCACGTTGGACTCAAAAATTGCGTTCTTGCGCACATGAAAAGATATAACTGTGAATCACGAATCGTGAATTAATAAAAGCTTAAATCATGTTTCACGGGAAAAAATAAGCCCCAATCACGCTTCACGCAAAAAGTATAGGGAGCCCTCAATACATGTAGATGAGGTGAGCCTCTCATTTGAAACTGAATGCGTAAAGCATAGTGTACTATTTTGCCAACAGGATTTGCTTGTGTAAGAAGTACCCAAGTAAAGAATGTTTCAACCCTATACTGAAAGTGCTGAGCAACAATAACAGGGTTTAAGTTCAGCGCAGAGCACTTTTCATAAGAAGACAGTGTACCAACTTGGGCATGAGTTACATTCAGGCCTTGTGTTCTGCCAATAATTTAAAACAGCTCAGGCCATCTGAGGTCCGCAGAAGACAATTTCATAAACCAAGTTGGAATGCCAAACAGTTTCACCATGGCTACAACTTCATACATAAACTTTAGCTGATAGGATGGTGAGCCTGGAACATGTCTCAGCAATAGATAGACCTGATCTTGGAAAACAAGACTCTTTAACCTTTGTACGTTGGATCTTAAATCTGATGCCACAAGGGACTGCCCATGAAATTTTGAGAGGGCTAAGTTGATGCTACTTGACACTTTTTTCTCTTCTATAATGAACTGTGCAAAGAACAAATATTCAGAATTCATTGGAAACCTGCCACTATAGTGTAAAAGACATGCATTGAAATATTTTGAAGGTGATAAATTGACTGATCTCTCTGCAGTGTAACCAAATCGCCCATTTGGAAATAATACTGGAAATGCCAGTTCTTCACAGTGTTTGTCAGTCATGAATAAAACTGGATGTTTATTTTCACCCGGCGCAATATCAATAATTTTATTCCCGCCTGACTTTGGATGGCTATTTTGCTGTATATTTAGAGTTACAGGATAACCTGGAAGAACAGACTGTAAACATGTCTCAGTTGTTGACCTAGTAATAATAATAATAATAATCATAATAATGGTTTATTAGTACTCCACATGGTGTGTACTAATTCACTATAATAAAATAATATAATGGTTGAAAAATCTATGGATAAATAAATAACGTGCAACAAGATGTATAATTACATAAATAATATATATAAATAATATACATAAAGTATGGATAGTATATGTAAAATTGTATAATATTGATGATGTAAAATTTATGGATTATATAGATACGCACGTATGAAAGTAATATTGGCTTGAGACATAAAGTATGTACAGGATATATAAGTAGGACTAGGAAGTACTTGTTGCCATTGTCATAAAATTATTTCTATATTTACTGTCGAATACTTTGAGTTCTGTACAATTTTTAATGTCTTGAGGTAGACTGTTAAATAGCATCGCAGTAAAATTTTGTAGTGTTCCAGGAACAGTCGATGGTTCAAGGCGACGCTCACAAGAAGATATTCGAGCCCTTGCCGGTTATGTTTGACCGGTTTGAGATAGGTTGGCCAGCAGTTTTGGTATAAAGCCTTGCATATTGTCCTAGTTATGTGATAGTCTCAACGATAACTAATTGGGAGCCATCCGGGTTTCAAAGCATCCGACATATCCGCATAGTGATTGTAAACAAAACTTGCCGCGGCAAGTTGGACACGTTGAAGTCTCTGTGTCAGGTACTATATCGTTGTAATCGATTAACGACAACACAAGGCTCTTTGCCAGACGTTTCCTGACATGGAAAGGGGCAAGATTCTTGAGTTTCTTGATAGCAGCAAGAGTATTGTAGCACTTTGATATTTTGGATAGAAAGTCATCGTTCCTTTTCAGGTTTTCGTCAATTTCTGTGCCAAGTAATCGAGTGGTTTTGATTCGTTCTAATTTAGCATCATTTGTATGCAGGTTGATCGGGTATTCGTCAAGCTTATGCACACGAGCCAGTTGTTGAGTCGAGAACAGCATCACTTTTGTTTTATCAGGATTCAAACAAAGATTGTACCCACTTGACCAAGTTGAAAGCTGATCCAAGGCATGTTGTAATTGGTCTTCTCACTGCTTAATGTTTGCAGGTTTGTTGTGCGCGTAGATGGTTGTGTCGTCAGCGTACTGGTGTGATGTTACGGACGCCTCCAGACTATCTGACAAGTCGTTGACATAAAGATTGAAGATGACAGGCCCCAATATGGAACCCTGGGGGACACCGAAGAACACCTCAATGGTACTTGAAAGTTTGTCATTTATCTGAACAAACTGCTTTCTCTCGGTAAGATAGCTAGTGACCCATCTGAGGTACGATTTGAAGAAACCAACCTTGTGCATCTTTTTTAACACAGTTTCATAGGCAACTGCGTCAAATGTCTTCAAGAAATCAGCCAAAATAGCCATGGTTACCTCGCCACGTTCCACTCTCCAGGGTGAACTTACTATACAATGAACTGCACACAAGAGTTCTTGTAGTAGCTGGGAAACAGTTAACCTGTTAGACAAGTTAAACAGTTAGCACCGTATCTATTAATTTTCTGGAATAGTCCACTGGGAGGTAAAGGTAAAGAATTCGATCCCACCAACGTGTAGACCAATACGTCGGCCAATGCATCAGCCAACGCGTTGTCCTTATAACATACAAGATGCGTCGGTGGTGCATCATTGTTGGTAACTTTGCAAGGGCGTTGTTTATCTAAAGCAGTACTAAACCTTGCTTTTCCACACTTAGTTGCAGTGTCTTCTTTTGAATACCTTCCACTCACGATAAGGAAATGGATAACTTACTTTTGGCCGCCAGGTTGTTCGTCGTGTTATTAGAACCCAGTCCCCATTCAGTTACTTATCCTGACTTAGCATTGAACAGTTTCAATATTTTCCATAAGGACACTTCAATATTCAAAACCAACACGTCATTGTCAAGGTTTTAAATTTTCATCACCTCTGTAGGGAGACTTAAATATTCTAAACTGACATGTTTTCGTTGAGCTTTTAAACTTTTATCACTTAATATACAGCACTTTGGACTTCGACATTGACTTGATGGCTCCTAAAGGAGCAGTTGTGGTTTTTTTTTTCGTTTATGAAGCCCTCTAGGAATATTAGGCATTATCTAAAGCCATTGGCAATAGCTTCTTCGTGAGGCAAAGTCCACCCAGCTGCTTTCTACACTTCTGCTCGATGTTTTTACTGGGATACCTGTGGTAGCCCAGTCATAAAATGCCTTTGTTTTTTTGTCGTCTTTTTTTGTTTTTTTTGTTTTTTTTGTTTTTTTCCTCCGCCACAAAATGGAAAAATTGCGCAATAGTACCCAGAGGTCATTGGGCCCTCAACACCATGACAACTAACTGTGATCCAATGAGGTGTTCACATGCTGATCACGCGTGTTATCCCTCAACACCATGACAACTAACTGTGATCCAATGAGGTGTTCACATGCTGATTACGCATGTTATCTTGATGATGATTTACGTTGTCATGCACAGACAGGGCCTGGTCACATGACGAATCACGAGCTTTTGCTTATAAAAATCTTTGGTCAGTTATTTTGTATTTCAATGTAGTTAGATTGCGATTTCCTGGAGCATTCTGGCGCAAACGCTCAAAATACTTACAGACGCATATACAAGTCATATTAATCGCGGCTAATCCACACTGAAAGATGTTATTGAGCGGTAATTTTGGAACGGATTGAGTCGCGAACGCTTGAAAGCCATGAAAGCCTTGAATGCCTTGTATGCTAAGTATGTCAATGTCTTAGTTGAAAAACGTTCACTTGTTGTAAAAAGCAAAATCTGAAATCTGAAACCAAACTGCATATACTCTATGCAATCTATTGAACAAACACCACTACCGTGAGACTGAAGAACATAACTATAATGGATGCAAACTGCTTGCGAAAAAAGACGACATATTGGATTCACTTGATGGCAAGGAACGTAGCTACGATAACAGTACGAATGGTATTAATTTCACGATCAGAAAGGTGAATCTTATGTTTGTTTTCATTTTAGTTGTATGGATATTCTTTTTTAACAAATACGTGATCCAAAACCCTGTGTTTTTTGTGTATAATGTTATTATGTTAAATATTGTTTACACAATTGTCTTGTCACAGGCGGCCCTAGCTCACGTCTCGATAAAGAGATGAACGCGTCACGCGATGTGTGACTCGGTGTTAAGTTACGAGAGGAACTGCACGTTATAAGGAATAGTATAGGGAACGAAGTATGGTCGATTTACAACAATACATATTTCGAAATATGAACATTTTTCTCGTAAAATCAATAAAACTTACTCATACCCTGTGTATCCGTTGTATTTTCTGGCGATTTCTGCCGTTTTAAGCTTGCTTTACCATCACTGTTATTCACGTCATCTACTTTTATTATGTTGGTAAAATCTGTACAGTCATCACACCAACCAACTCGCGCGCAAAGTAAAAAGACTATATTGAAGGCTTGAAATAATATTGCGATCGATTTTCATCAAGAAATGGGCCAGGAATATTCCACAATAGTGCAAATAATCGTGAAGGCGGATCGCAGAAAAGCGATTGCGTGACGCTCGGTAAGCTGTAAGATGACATGTTATTATATACCAGACGTAAAAACTCTTCAGATTCTTAGTCTGCATTTTGTACCTAGTCTGCAGTCTATATTTTGTATCCGGTCTGCAGTCTGCTTTCTGCATTTTGTACTAACAGGTATCTGTGGCTCCAATACAGTTTATTTTTGGTTACATTTACTCGCAAAACACACATTATCTACCACAAAATACCTGTGAGTGAGGTAATTCGACATTTTCGTTCTTTCCCACATTAATATTCTTCTCTCCTTTTGTAAGAATGTAGACATCACTCACAATGTTTCAAGTAATCCACCCACCCTACAAAAAAGTAACTCTTGCATGCATAGCATGTCTATGTTTTGAAATAGGTGTATACCCTTGGCCAGACTTGAGCGCACTATTTCAGTATGCTAGTCCGACACCCGTAGTATCACTACACTTAATTCCAAGGATCCAGTACCATCCAGGTATCCCAGTTACCCTGCTCACAGGGTCTAGTTTACGGCTAGTTTCGGGTCTCCCAGCCTCTCCAAGGTGCTCACGTTATTGACAATTCTTAGCTCTGCTAACACCAAGAAAGTCTCTGATGGTGCTGCGTGCTGTACCTGCCAGTCTATATGCATTCTTTAATCTTCATTTTTCTCCTGGAGGGTCGAAAGTACCTCCACCAAGCGTTGATGGATTTTGGCGAGGTTGTTGTGGTCAACCTTCGCAGCAACTTCATGGTTCACGGGTGATGGCACTGCAGGATTCTGCACTGCTTGTAGCTACTGCTCCAAGGCCTTTATCCGCTCATCTTGTTATCTTCAGAAGTTTCCAGAATGTTTTAAAATTTTTTCGTGAATCTGAAGTTTTTAGCAAGCTGTCAGCATTGTTCTAGGGGTGGTTCTGATATGGACGTAGCAGAGACAACACAGGTAAACGAAGGATACATGTGGCACTGTGCAAATAAGGAATGTCGAATGTGGCTTTGAATAAGTTCAGGGTCCTTCCTGTTCCTGATCAACCTGTTCCAACAAGATCCTGAATGCTGAAATTAAACTGGGAGGTTTAGGTAAGACCGTGGAGATAGACCAAGTTTGGTGCCGAGAGAAAGTATAAGAGAGGGATAGCATTGGAAAGTCCATGGGTGTTAGAGTAGTAGAGAAAGGATCGCAGAAAGTGCTGGTCTTCCATGTTCCTGATAGAACTAGAGAGACACTTATGCATCGTCTTATCACTACACGCATTCTTCCTGGAACTATCATTTACTCTGATCAATTCTCTCCGTACATACCACTCAATCAGCTAGGATACATCCATCTACCGGTGAATCACTCCAAGAACTTTGTTGGTCCTATTGAAGGCGTGTGGGCCTTGATCAAGAAGAATTTTAGGTGGATGTGTTTTACCCTGTATGAGTACATACTGAGCTACTTAGATGAGTTTACCTAGTTCAGGAACTTCGGAAAAGAATGAGCATTCAAGCAGCTACTTGAAGACATCACCAAACAGTTTCCACTAAAGTAAAACTTCAATTAAAAACGGCTCCTTTAGGAGCCACCACATATTCAAAAGTCAATGATCAATTAAGGTTTTACCCTTCCAAATCTTGCCAATGAACAAAAAGTAATCATGTAGGTGAAATCACCGTGTCGGCCGACATGCTTATTAACTCTCTTGGTATCTGACCCTTGAAAAAAAGAGTCGAGAAAATCTAGGTCCTAGTATTTCGTTTTCAAAATGGTGGTGATTTAGATTTCTTTTCCTATGTGGTAGATCTTGCCTCCAACGCATAGGTAGTGTTTTAAAATGGTGGCAATTTAGAGTTCCTTTTCTTATGAGTTAGTGTTGGTAGTGTGTCAGCCGATGCGTTGGTCAATCTTACCAACATGTTGGTGTGTGTCAGCTGATTAACTCCCTTGGTATCTGACCCTTGAAAAAAAATTGGGAAGACCCAGGTACTAGTATTTCGTTTTCAAATAAAGGTAGTGATTTAGGTTTCTTTCCTATGAGGTAGATCTTGCCTCCAATGCGTGGGTAGTGTTTCAAAATGGCAGCGATTTAAAGTTCCTTTTCTCATGAGGTAGTGTCGGTTGACGTGTTGATGGCGTGTCGGCCGAAGTGTTGGTAATGTGTTGGCCGACGCGTTGGTAGTGTGTTGGCCCACACGTTGGCCGACGTGTTGGTGGGATCGGACTCTTTACCTTTACCCACTGGGATTTGGCTGATATTTGATGGTGTCAGAAAGTAGAGCACTTCCACATTTGACAATAACATCTGATGTATCAAACTTCCAATATACACAAGGTTTCAACACAGAAAAACAAATAGCATAAAGAGCTATAGTAGAGGTATTTGTTATAGTGACATTAGTAGATAGATAGATAGTTTATTGACTAAAAACAGCTGCCATAGGCTAAATTACGTCTACCTTATAATTACTAATATGTATAAATATATATAAATACAATAAGAAAACTATAAAAAATCTATGATATCATATATAATTAAAAATATGAATGCAGTTAATTAAATATCTAGTCATTAAAAACGTAACTTGAAATGAAACTGTTCTTGTAATGTTCAGTCCCACATCTTAATAGTTTATATAGTCTTTGGTTGTAAGGCTGTAAGTAGATATGTTCTCATCTGGCAAAAGTGAATGTAATTTGTGTTCCTTATTTGTAGAGATCTCGGTGAAGAGTTTCAAAGAGATTTCTTCTCTTCTCTTAGATAGTGTAGGTAATCCTGGTGCGCTGAGGGCTTCAGCGTAAGACAAGGTAGGGTAAATAATGCGAGTACATCTTTGTAGACTTTCCAAATCGTTGTCCAGGTAAGCTGGTAGTGCACGGTGGAAAACTGGACAAGCATATTCCAGAAGGGGCCAGATACACAGCAGCAATCTTGGAGATTATGGGTGTGAGTGAGATTGGGCGTAGGTGCTTGTTTACGTCTTGGATTAGTTGTTACTTTGGAACTGGGACGATATCGGCTTCCTTCCATACTGAAGGTAACCGCCCTTTGCGGTAGAAGTAATTGAGAATATCACATATTGGACCAGCCAGAAGATCGGCATTTTCTTTCAGGAGCCATCTAAGGATTGCATCAGGGCCGTGCGCTTTGGTTGGATTAAGCACTGCGAGTTTCTTAAAAGTTGACATTTCAGTGATCAGTGTAATTTCGTCGGTAAAGTCCCCTGCTACAGTTTGTTGTTGGAGAGGGTTACAGGTGAGTGGTTTAAAGTTTTCCATTGGAGTCAAAAAACTTGTGTCGATAAAGTTGGTGTAGTCAAAAGCTGACTTACCACTAACACCTTTAAGATGATGTAATGACTTCAGGATGTTGCAGTCTTCAGTGCCTGGCCTAGACACATCACTCAGTATTTTTACCTCTTTCCATCAGCTAGACGAGGAGCACTGTTAAGGTGTCCAACTTTGCATTCGTAGTGCTTAGTGTGGCAGATCTTTCGTTCCTCAGGTGATGAAATTCCTTTAGATTTCCCTGATTGAGTGCTGATTAACGCTTCCGAATCAAGTTTTTTAGAGAGCAGTTGATCCACAGTGGTTCGGTAATGTGAACGACTTTCAATCGTAGAGTTGAAATGGCATCAAGTCCAGTTTTAATGATCGTTAGAAGCAAGGATGTTTTATGTTCACAGGAGCTTGCATTGTGGATGATATCAGTGACATCTTCTCGCTCAAGGTACGTGCGCATTGCCAGACAATTGCTGGGTCTTAGATCTCTGGGAAAGACAGTGAGTTTAACTTTGGAAGATTTAGGTCATTCCTTTGGCTGTATTTCAACAGAACAAAAATCCGAAAGCCCAAATGCTGGATGCTTGTTCGATGGGTCATAATAGGATTTCATGTTGGTTAATATGTTGTCCAATGTGTTCCGACCACGAGTTGGAAAGTGGATGATTTGCTTCAAGTTGAAATTTAATTTTAATCTCGAGACATTGAGTTGGTCTAAGTCACCCAGCACAATTATTCCACTTTTGGGTGCTTGGACTCAACATCTGACAAACAACTGGTCAAATAATCCAACATTATAGAGTTGTTTGCGTCTGGAGAATGATAAATAAGGCCAAGGATAAATTCAGAGTATTCCCTTGGGAGTCAAGTTGGTCTGATTTTTCTTCCACAGAACCTCTAAACCATAAGTTTTATCAGCGAAATCGTCTAAAATGTTGAAGGGAATTATTTCATTTAAGAATACGCACACACCTCTATGAACTGCTTCACTCCTGTCGAGATGAATTAAGCTGTATCCCTGCATAGTCACTATAGAATCTGGAATGTGTTTTTGCAGCCAAATCTCCGTAATGCAGACAAGGGCAAAATCTGCATTAAGTTGACTAGGAGTAATGCACACACAGTTTGAAGGATTATGAGAGCGACGAAGTTGAGATTTAATTGAGTGTTCATGGACCTTACAGCTGAATGCCCTTGCTGTAATGACTTGTATGGGACGGTGACGATATTGCTCTCTGGAGCCACTGTAAAATGATGGCTTGTACATCTAACCAAACCTTCAAGTGTGTAATTTTGACCCAATACATCCATAGTAAGTTGAAAACCTAATCGATCGATACAATATGATGACATTTCTAGAAATAAAAATGTTGGAAGCAGAAGAAAATGTCGCAACATTGAGATATTGCCAGAATTCCTTTGACACAAATCACAGTAAAGTGCAGCAGTACTGGGCAATACAGCCTTAGAGACATAATTTTCAAATTTCTTGTGAGTCATATTCATGGAAGTTATGTAGAACACAAATATCAAGTCCTTTACAATTGTATCGTCACATGATGTATATATCTATTGATCAGTCTGCTGGCGAGGAATTCTTCTTAACAAATATTTCCCTTTGTGTTTATAAATGTTGACAGTGGAACACAGAAAATAAAGTAAACATTGACTGGAATAAACCTCGCAAACACCATTTAAGCTTACATGTGTATTCTGGTAAACAGGTAAGCTCATTGTCAGCAAGAATACTCAAAATCTTAAACATACACGTAGCATGATTGTCGACTGATGGATTGAAATGTGAAAGTTTTGATAGAGTAAACCTCTCAAAGCTTAAATATCTTCAATCGCAAACTAACAAATATTTGAGCCAATTTTTGGAATGGTTGGTGTCTGTGTTTTCCGTGATGGACTCCTTAACTTTTGAATACACGGATTCAATGAATATCGTGTGTCAAACTCCTTGTTTAGACTAAACGTTAGGCACATAGATGAACACGCAGGTTTGGTTGCTGAACTTGTTGGTTTGTTTGGCGAGTAGGCCAAGTGGACGGAACGTATGATCTGCAAACTCTATGCAATTTTTACAGTTCCAGTTGAAACACCTTCTAAAATGTCTCACCTTCTGTTTATTCCCTCTGCTTACCAGAATCGCTGAATTGCAGAATGTTCCTTGGCAGAATCGCGGAATTGAAAATTACAGTACTTTTACTCCTGTCAAAGTCATGTCATTTTGTACGTATTTCCAAGTTAAACCCAATAAAAATAGTTCCAGCTGTGACGTGCATTTCGTTGTCAATCAATCAAATCACGAGGTTGTCAAATTTGTCCATTTGTGTCGACGATGAAAAAGGAACCCCGGACAAAACACACTGTGGCCTGCCACAGGCATCCCATGGAAATATTTGATGCTCATGCAAGTAGCCAACTGTACTGCTTGTGTACAATACCTCAATGCTGCCCTTTGAGAAAAAAGGGACTGATCATTACATCACATTTGACCTACAAGTATCATCTCCCTATTTAAAAATGCTAGGAACTAGCATTAATTCTAAATCTAACTGTGCCTTTTTATTTGTTGGTGCAAAATCAGCCCATCTGAGGGGCCCTCTTTTCTCTTTTAATGCCCTGGAGGTTAAACTGAATACTTAACCATTTCTAAATAAACCTGCTGGGCACAAAATAACAGTGGTTGATATCCATTAAGAAATAATCATCA